AAAATATAAAAACAAAATCAAGCTCCTATGGGTCCCCAGTCACGTCGGCATAAAAGGCAACGAAAATGCCGATACAGCAGCGAAAGAAGCGACCAACGCTCCATTACTTACTACACCAAATGTAAACCGTGGAGACATTAACAAACAAATAAAAACTGACACCCTTAAATATAAACCAATCACATTGCAAAAATCATCGCAGTGGTATCAACAAATAAACCCAGAAGCCATAAGCATAGCTGACTACATAAAAACTTCACAAGCCTTCAACCTACCAAGAAGGGAAATCACAAAAAATAATACGCCTTCGACTTGGCCACACCAGACTCACCCACGAACATCGCTTTTCACAGCCACCCAACTCCCAATGCCAGTTCTGCACCACGGATAACATTTCAATCCCCCATATCCTTAACGACTGCCCAGCCCTACAAACATACAGATCAAATTTAACAAATGTTAAACTAACGGAACTGCTAATTAACCCTAATTTTGCAAACCTCCAGCTAATTTTAAAATTCATCAAATCAGCTAACATCTTGCATCGTTTATAAACCTATTCTTTTTCGTTCCTCAACTCATTAAAAACTGTTATTTAATTTGTATATAGTTTATGTGTAAATAAATTGTTATATATCATATTTGTAAACCAAAGTATTTTAAGTATTTATATATTTAAGAAAACATGTAATACTCATCCCGGCCGAAAGTCACCGCTGCTATGGCCGTTTCCCATCTGTACCTTAAGTTTACAACTTCCGAGTACAGAGTACAATAAATAAATAAATAAATAAAAGTCAAAGACAAAAAAACACCGGGCTATGACCAAATCAGTGGTAAAACACTAAAAGAGCTGCCAGACAATACGATTAAGTTTATAAGAGACATTTTTAATGCAGTGATAAGACTGAAGTTCTTCCCTTCGACGTGGAAAATTGCGCAGATTACAGCAATCCCAAAACCTCATAAAAGTGCATCTCTTGTTAGCTCATATAGACCAATCAGCCTGTTACCAATTTTATCAAAAATCTTCAAAAAAATTTAACTTGACAGAATCAACCCTATCTTAGTAGAACAAAATGTAATCCCACCCCATCAATTTGGTTTTCGAAAAAAACACTCAACGGTGCAGCAAGTGCACAGAGTTATCAACAAAATAACAGAAGGCTTTGACAACAAGAAAGTTTGCGTAGCAGTATACATGGACATTGCAAAGGCGTTTGACAAAGTATGGCATACAGGACTACTCCACAAGCTTCACAACATCCTACCATTTAACCTGTTCACTGTACTAAAAAGTTACTTGACTAACAGATATTTCTATATCAAATGCGACGATGAATGTTCAGACCTTATGCCTGTGGCAGCGGGTGTACCCCAAGGCAGCGTACTAGGACCAGTATTATACCTTATATACACAGCAGACATCCCAAACCCACTGACCCATGGTTCCATGATTGCAACCTTTGCTGACGATACAGTGCTATTGGCCTCCAGTTACACAGAAAAAAGAGCAGCAAACACACTTCAAGAGATATTAACAACAACAATGTCATGGTTTGAAAAATGGGGCATTGAAATAAACAAGGACAAAACCCAACAGGTGGTATACACAAAAAAGAAAATACCTACCCCAACAAGAATAAGAATAGATGACGAAATCCTGAAATTAAGTACTAGCGCAAAATACCTGGGACTCACTATTGACTCAAAACTTACGTGGAAAAAACATATAATAAACAAACGAAACGAAGTAAAAAGTAAATTCCGACAACTCCATTGGCTTCTGGGAAGACAATCAAACCTACACGTATCCAACAAGCTACTAATCTATAAAACAATAATAAAACCAATCTGGACATATGGTATAGAAATATGGGGAACAGCCAGCAAATCAAAACTCAACTTAATACAAAGAGCCCAGTCGAAAATATTAAGAATATTAACTAACTCAGACAGATACACAACAAATGACCACATCCATAGAGAGCTAAGAATACAGACGATCTCAGAGATAATTAAGCAGAATTGCATTATCCACATCCAAAAATTACTTGCGCACCAGAATCATAGCCTAAGAGACATTCCGAGAAGAGAAGCACAACAAAGAAGACTAAAAGGGAGAACTCCCACAGCACTAGCGCACCAATAACGGAATAAAGATAGGTAAATAAAAATAAGCGAAATGAAAAAAGTTATACCAACACAATGGTGTTGGTAATAAGTTAAGCCCACTTGTTGTCTTCCAAAACAATTACTTAATATTCTATTGAATAGATGTAATAAATAAAGGGGTTAGAAAAAAAAACCTGGCGGGTGAACATTTTCCCGGCCGGTTTTTCTTGGCTTACCTTAAACCTCTGGAAGCCTGGGCATCGTCGTACGTATTTGGCTACTTCTCGAAATAATCCGGTCCAGTAGTATTTTTGGGCGACTCGGGTGCTTGTTTTCCGCACGCCCAGATGGCCTGCAGTGGGGTGATCGTGGCATTCCGTCAGCACTCTTGCGCGGTCGTGGGTGCCCACGCATAGCTTCCAGGGGATGTATTCCTCATCCTCCGGGCGCAGCCCGATGCGTCTGTAGAGTTGTCCGTTCTCCTCTCGAAAATCCGGATACTTGGCCGGCTCCTGTCGGATCCATTGTAGTATTTTTGCAATCCACTTGCAACCGTTGTCCTGAACTAGTGCCTGCTGCATGGTGGCCAGAGGCTGGCGTGACAGTGCGTCTGCGACCAGGTTCTGGGTTCCGCGTCGGTATGTCACGTCGTACTGGAACTGCTGTAACTCCAATGCCCACCGAGCGATCCTGCCCGTGGGGTTGCCGATGGAGTTCAACCACTTTAGCGAGTGGTGGTCGGTGAGCACCTCAAAGCGGTATCCTTCGAGATCTTACGGATGGCCCAAACTATCGCGGGGCATTTCTTTTCTATGACAGAGTAGTTGCGCTCGGCGGTATTTAGCCGGTGGCTGGCGTAGGCGATTACACGCTCCTGCTGGTCGATGGTCTGGGTGAGTACGGCTCCCACGCCGTATTCGCTTGCGTCGCTTTGAAGTACGAATTTCTCCTCGAAATCCGGGCACGCCAGGATCGGTGCCTCCGTGAGCAGGTCCTTCAACTTTTGGAACGCCTGTTCCTGTTTCTCTGCCCATCTCCAGCTTTGATCCTTCTTGAGCAGCGAGGTCATTGGCGCGACCACGTCCGCGAAGTTCGGCACAAAGCGTCTGTACCAAGACGCTATACCGAGGCATCGGCGAAGCTCCTTCAGGTTCGTGGGTGGGGTCAGTTCCCGGATGGCCGCAACCTTGTCGGGGTCGGTCTGTATCCCGGCCTCGCTGATTACATGGCCAAGATATTTTATACTCCGCTGGAAGAACTGGCACTTTTCTCGGTTGAGCCGGAGATTGGCCTCTCGGAGCCGTCGGAATACCTCGCGCAAGTTTCGTACGTGCTCGGAGAGCGTAGCCCCGACGACGATGATGTCGTGCAGGTAGGGGAAAGCGTGTGGCTCCATGTCTGGGCCGATGACGGTGTCCAGCGCCCGTTAAAATGTGGCCGAAGCCGAGTGAAGCCCGAAAGGCATCACCTTCCAGTGAAATAGTCCGCGGCCCGGGACAGTGAATGCCGTGCATTCGCGGCTGGCCGGGGCGACTGGGATCTGCCAGTACCCATTCTTCAGGTTCAACGTCGATATATAGCGGGCGTTTCGCAGCCGCTCCAAAATGTGGGGGATCCGCGGCAGCGGGTAAGCGTCGGGGATCGAATTGTCATTCAATTGCCGGTAGTCTATGCACATCCTGGCCTCTCCATTCTTCTTTGCCGCGATGACTATCGGCGCGCTATGGTGGCTCTTGGAAGGCTCTATGCGTCCGTCGCGGATAAGCTCGTCGATCTGTTGGTCGATGATGGCCCTCATCGCGGGATTCCGTGGATGATATAGTTGCTTGATAGGGCGATCGTGGCGCATCACGATCTTGTGCTCGGCGATGTGGGAGACGTTGGCGATGTTGTTGAAGCGGGACAGCTCTCGTTCGAGAAACTTCCCTATCCAAGGCTCCGGGTAGTTTTCTTCGTGGCCTCTGGATCTTGGTTCCTCCTCGGCGTCGTACTCAGCGTCAGCGATACCGCAGGATGGAGGCGGTGGTTCCAGGTCGCTGAAGCGGACTCTCTTGGCCCCTTTGCAAAATGGGTTTCGTTGAACCGCTGATGGATCGGGCGTAGGTAGTGCTCCGGCCCAGCTTGGGGCCGTGCACGCGTTGGTGTACCTGGTGCTGTGTTGAGCGTCAGGGCGTGGCGGTGAGTACGTCTTGGCGTCCGATGAGTGCGCCCGTGGGTGCGCCGGGGTGGCGGCTGATGCGTGCGCCCGTGGGGCGGCTTGTGGGTGCGCCCGTCGGGCGGCTTGTGTTTGCGCCTGGGTTTTTTTTTTTTTTTTTTTTTTTTTTTTTTATTAGTGCTCTAGGATAAACTACAGTATAATTTAATTATGCTAATCTAAACTTGGGATGAGCCCATGCGGTACGACCGCGAAGTATTGCTTCGCAGGGGCAAAGCCCAAAGTTAGGCACCTCTTCTTATGCGCTCAAGTCTACGCAATTCTTTGGTAACTTGACCAGCAAAGGCCGTTATCAGCGCCCAGTTTGACTCGCTCGACAGCATGGTTGCGATCAGGGTGTCCGGAGAGAAGGCTCCACCAACTTGTACGCCGACTTCATGCCTTGCCGCTGCAATTCTGTTGTAAACGAAGAAGGCATGTTCGGCGTCCTCTTCGATGCCTGCTCCACACAGCGTGCAGTCGCTGTCGGTTTCGTGGCCAAACCTCCTTAGATAGCTGCGGAAGCACCCATGCCCGCTGAAGATCTGCGTCAGGTCGAAGTTAACCTGGCCGTGCTTCCTGTACATCCAGGATGTCAGATCTGGGATCAGGCGGTGGGTCCACCTGCCCTTCGTCGAGGCATTCCACCGGGTTTGCCAAGATGAAATGCTCAGCGCACGAAGGTTCGTCCTTACGGCACTGGTAGCAGGGCCGGATGAGCGTAGGGAGATAATTTCCCTAGCGAGGAGTCGATTGGTACCATACCCGCAATCACAAGGGCGGCATCGTCCGACATCGTCCTGAAGCCAGAGCAGACCCGGAGCGCGCAGAGGCGGTAGGTGCTGGCTATCCCGCTGAAGTAGCTTGGCGTTGATAGGGCTGTATGCCAAATTGGAGCAGCATACAGAATGGTTGCCCTTACCACGCTCATCAATAACTGCCTTCTCTGCTGCTTGGGGCCTCTGGAGTTGAGCATTATTCTGGAGAGTGCTTGCCCAGCCACCGCCGCTTTCCTGTTGACAAAGTCCAGGTGCTCTCTGAAGCATAGACGGGTGTCGATCATCACCCCAAGGTATCGTATAGCTCGCTTGGAGTTGATAACTTGGTCGCCAACCCTGATCCGAGCCGTTTCAACGGTTTTGTGGCTGCTGACAAGCACAGCTTCGGTTTTGTGGGCTGCCCGCTCCAGGCCAACCGCGTTCAGCCAACGTATGATGGAACGGATGGATCAGTTTCATGACTCCTCTGCCTCGTGGATGTTTTTCTCAACTGTGACAATGGCCACGTCATCAGCGAAGCCGATGAGGCGCGTTCGAGGGGGAGTTGACAGTCGTAGGACCCCGTCATACATGGCATTCCATAGTGGAGGGCCGAGGACAGAGCCTTGGGGGACTCCAGCGCTTACAGGATACCGTCCATCTCTCTCGGAAGTAATCCCTGATGAGGTTAAGGAGGTGGTTCGGCACGTTAAACGCTGAAAGCGCACGCAGGATGCTACCCCAGTCAGCCGAGTTGAAGGCATTCTTGATGTCAAGGGTAACAATGAGGCAGTACTCTTTGTCACCCCCTTTCCACCGCGTGCCCTCTATCGCTTTGGAAGCAATGTCCACCACCATGCCAATAGCGTCTAGGGATCGACCGGGACTTGCGGAATCCGAATTGCGTGTGGGCGAGGCCGCCTCCCCTTTCAATGGCCGTTTCCAGACGGCTGGCTATTAGGCCTTCAAGGATCTTGCCTGCTGTATCCAAGAGGCAGATCGGTCTGTACGCTGAGGGGTCTGATGGGGGCTTTCCTGGTTTTGGAATCAGTACCAGCTTCTGCGTCTTCCATTGACTCGGAAAAGTGCCTTCCTCGAAGCTTCTTGTAAACAGGTATGCGAACTTCTCAGGGTGTAAGTTGAGAGCCAATTTGATTGCCCTATTGGGAATACTGTCAGGACCAGGAGCCTTGTTTGGCTTAATTTTGCTAGCGGCCAGAACCACTTCCGCAGACGAGACTGGAAAAAGGCGGCGCTCAGGATCGGTGTCTGGTGGTAGGCTCTGGAGAGTAGGCAGGGCTTTCTGGGGAAACAGCGTCTCTACTATGGTTGTTAGGGAGGATGCATCAGTGGGGACACGACTACCTCCAGAGTTCAGCCGCTTCACCACATTTTTATATGCGGCGCCCCATGGGTCCTTATCCGCATTGTCACACAGCCTGAGAAAACACTCCCTTTTGATGTCCCTAATGGCATTCTTGAGTGACTTCCTCGCTACTTTAAAACTTTCCTGGAGTACAGGGAAATTTGGAGTGCCTCTGGCGCGCTGGCAGAGCCTACGGGCATGTATGCAACGACTACGGATTTCGGTAAGGCATTCGTTCCACCAGCACACAGGGGGGTGATGGGTGCCGTTCAGTCGTCGAGTGTTCATACTGCTATTGCAGGCTGCCTTGACGCTGTCCATGGTTGCGTCAGCCAGAGATTGGGCATCGTAGGGTAAGCCCTCCTCATTCAATCGGGTCAGCCCAGACCCCAGCGTTTCCGTAAAGACATGTAGGTCGAGGGTCTCGCTTCGGTAGGCAATTTGTGATGGCTGCACGTTTCTTGGCTCAGGGGACACCCCAACGCTACAGATGATAGCTTGGTGGTCGCTTCCCGTGTACATATCACTAACCATCCATTGCGTAGCACCGTGTAGGGAGGAGCTTACGAATGTGAGGTCAATGAAGGACTCTGTTGTGACAAATGCTAAATTGTCAATGCTGAGCGTCTACCGCTCTGGGGACTTTCATTCGACAAGAGAAAAAATAGGTACAACCGAAGTAACTTCAAGATTAAGTTTATTTTAACAAATTTCACTAGATATCAAAACAACTAATTTAATTACGAAGGTTAAGTTATATCAAAATTTTAGGTTTCTTCAAGGTATAAAAATCAAAGACACAGGCCGACCAGCACAGAACACCGCTTGCCAAAGAGTGCTTTGTCGGATTTTGGCATTCGTCTTTTGTGCTGCTGGCACTCCTCGAGAGCGTAGAAAACTGCATTAAGCATTGTAAGGGTTTGTAAAACGCCTTACAAGTTTGAGTGCAGGAGAGCCGCATAGCAACAGCGGGATGCGCGGCGTGCAGAAGAAAAGGGAAATAACGGTGCAAAGGACTTTGGACTCAATGCTGCGGTGAGTCTGCAGACTTTGGACCCAATAACGGTGAGTCTGCGGACTTCGGACCCGCGCAAAGAGGAGAGACCGTGAACTAACGGTACCGTTCTGGACTTTGTACCCGTTATAACGGTGAAGTTCTGGACTTTGTACCCGTTATAACGGTGAAGTTGGCGGACTTTGGACCAGCACAAAGAGGAGAGACCGTGAACTAACGGTACCGTTCTGGACTTTGTACCCGTTATAACGGTGAAGTTCTGGACTTTGTACCCGTTATAACGGTGAAGTTGGCGGACTTTGGACCAGCACAAAGAGGAGAGACCGTGAACTAACGGGACTTGTGCTGCACTTTGGACCCGATCACGCCACTTGTCCTGCAATTTGGACCCAGTCACGCCACCGATGGAGGGAAATAGCAGGACAGGGATGGCATATAAAAGGACGTACCAACGCGAGTGAAAGCCCAAGTGAACAACAAGTGCCAGGATACCAGGAATCAAGATCGCCGAGTCGAGAAGCCCAACGACGGTCACGTCTACATAAGCTGAGACTGCCAAGCTGAGATCCCGAGGGTACAAGGTAAGTTGTAGGGTGCGTCTACGAGTCTCGAAAACGACGGTATTGGTGGAGTCCGAGTAAGTGGATGTTGTGCGAAAGGTACCCAGCGTCGGTTCGCATGAGAGATTGAGAACCTGCTGAGGGCCAGCTGACGAAGATCCAGTGGATGTTGTGCGAAAGGTACCCGGCGTCGGTTTCTCATGAAAGATTGAGGACCTGCTGAGGGCCAGCTGACGAAAATCCGAGGGAGTTGTGCGAAAGGTGCCCGGAGTCGGTTTCTCATGAGAGATTGAGGACCTGCCGAGGCCCAGCCGACGAAATCCCGACCGACTTCAGGGTAGAGCGTGGAGTGTTGACTGCAGCAGCGCTGCTTAGCCCTCCAGTAAGGTTTTCTGCTCAATATCCGCCAAGTGGTGAGAGACTCGTAGCGAGCCTAGTACGCGACCGGTGCCCGAAAGACTCGGCAAGGCGGAGGACGCGCTACAGGCGTGCCGCCGCAGGAGTCGACGCGGGAGCCATTACCGGCGTCAGCGGGGGAGATCGAGTCGTCGGACAGCAGAGCCACGAATACTTTATTGTAAATCCGCAAGCAATAAACGCAACCCAATATTCTAAATCTAACCTAACTCTGCGTTCTTCTTTGGTCTCGGGGTCACGCAACAATAAATTTGGTGGGACGAACACACAAACTCAACTGAGCTAGCCGCACGTTTACGTAGCGAGCGGAGACATAAAAAGCAGTTCGTTACATCTGGCGCCCAAGCGTGATACTCAGACCAAAGAGACCAGAATAGGTATAGAATGGGGAAGTCCTGGTTATATAACCTTAAAAAGGACGATTTACCGGCGATCGCAAGCGCCCTCGGCATCGAGCTAGAGGGCCTTGTAGAGGAAATGAGGCGGACACTGGCCGAATTCATCGACCACTCCGAACATGATCATGAAGCGCTGGCAATTCTGGCGGCCCTGGAAAGGGATTACGCCAAATACCCGTCGGTCGGCCTGAAAGTCACCGGAGCCGAGGGCCTGGTACGCAGCCTGGACGTGAGCAGCATGCAGAACGCCGGCAGGAGCAGCAGCCGCGACCGACGGGAGAACAGCAAGGAGAGGAAGAGCGTCAACCGCGAACAACGCGAGGAAAATGGCAGACCAGGACAGGAGTATGCCAAAGTCGCAAAACAAGTCAGGGAGTGGAGTTTCCGCTACGACGGGAATGAGAAGCCCCTGGAATTCCTCGAACAAGTAGAGTGGTCGGCCATGACGTACGGGCTGGACATCAACCAAATTCCGAGGGCGATGCCGGAGCTCCTTCAGGGCAGAGCGCTAAAATGGTTCATCGCTAATAACAGGTTCTGGGAGACCTGGGGCGGATTTAGCCAGAGCTTCCAGGAGTTCTTCTTGCCCAGGGGATTCATGAGCAAACTCGCAGATCAGGTCAGGCAGAGGAAGCAGAACTACGGTGAAAGCTTCAAAGACTACATGGTAGACATGCAGACATTGATGCGACCCCTGGGTATGAACAAGGACGAGATCTTGGAGCGGGTGAAAGAAAATAGCACCCCAGCATTACGGCTGTTTATACGCCCCTACAGGTGCCAGAACCTAGATACCCTGATGGCATTAGCGGACGAATTTGAGGAGCTCGACCAGCAGAGGGAGCGGTTCGAGCAGGAGAACATCCCGAAAGCCCGATACCATGCGCCGGCCATGAGGAGGGAACCAGCAGCAACGTGCAGGCGCTGTCAAGAGGAGCCAAACGAGCGCAACGCACGGCCGGGATACATAAATAATCCATCCCAGGCATGCCGGAGATGCGGAAGCCAAGAACACTGGGCCAAAGAATGCCGCAACAGAAGGATCGCATTCTGTTGGAGATGCGGAAGCGTCACGAACGGCGAATGCTGCGCACGAGCGGGAAACGCCAAGCGACCCCAGCCACCGAGGGGCGGCCAGGGATCGCAAGGTGCTGCCTCTCGAAACTAATGGGCGACCTGAAGGCGGAAGAGATGCAGCTGTCCGCCACAGTGCTCATTAACCAACGAAAAGTGAAGGCCACGGTGGACACTGGCGCCACGGCCAGCTTTATAAGCGAAGAGTTGGCGGACAGGCTGCAGGCCGCCGGTAAGGGCGTACCAACGAGAAGGCAGGTGCGCATGGCAGACGGAAGATGCGGGAGCATCCAATCACAGCTGGAGATAGTGGTTGGTCTCGGGACGAGGAAGGTGTTGATGCAATTATTAATCCTCCCAAGAGTGATAGACGCCCTAGTTTTGGGCTGGGATTTCCTCTCAAAAATAGGAGCGGAGATAAAATGCGCAGGACTCGAGGTGGCGATACCAGCAAGGAAGCGCAGACTAGGAATGCTGGAAGAAAGACTGTCGGTGGCAGTGGTAGAAACACCAGAACAGTTTTCGGAAGAGGACATCGCCAAATTCCTGAAGGAGGAGCTGAAAGCTCTAGAAGAGTCAAGCGGGGCATCAAACATAGCCGTCCACAAGATCACGATGAAGGACGACCAGCCAGTGAAGCAGCGGTACTACCCAAAAAACCCCAAAATGCAGGGGGAAATAAATGAAAAGGTAGACGAGCTGCTGGAAAAAGGATGCATCGAGCCGTCAAGAAGCCCGTACAGCTCTCCAATCGTCATGGTAAAGAAGAAGACGGGAAAATGGAGGCTGTGCGTAGATTTCCGACAAATCAACGCAAAGTCGGTAAAGGATGCGTACCCGATGCCTATGATCAATTACATCCTGGATCAGTTAAGGGAGGCACGATACATCAGCAGCCTGGACTTGAAGGATGGATACTGGCAGATACCGCTGGAAGAGAATAGCAGGCAGTATACCGCGTTCACCGTCCCAGGAAAAGGACTGTTCCAATGGAAGGTGATGCCATTCGGGCTGCACTCAGCGTCGGCAACGTTCCAAAGGGCGCTCGATCAGGTCATAGGGCCTGAGATGATGCCGCACGCCTTTGCGTACCAGGACGATATTATCGTCATCGGACGGACGCTGGAGGAGCATAAAAGAAACCTGAGGGAAGTGTTCCGAAGACTGCGATCAGCGAACCTAAAGGTAAATGTGGAGAAGTGCAAGTTCTTCAGAAAGGAGCTGCAGTACTTGGGACATCGCATCACCGACTAAGGAATTGGAACTGATCCGGAGAAGGTGGCGGCGATATCGTTGCTGGAACCCCCAGCCAACGTCAAGGAGCTGAGGCAATACCTGGGAGTGGCATCATGGTACCGACGTTTTGTACCCGACTTCGCCACACTAGTCCATGCGCTTAATGCCCTACTCCGAAAGAAGGTGAAATGGGAGTGGACCGACGACCACCAGAAGGCATTCGAGGCGGTCAAGGCCAGGCTGGTCGCAGACCCAATCCTGGCATGCCCAGACTTCACGAAGACGTTCATCCTACAAACAGACGACAGCGACTACGGGCTTGGCGCCATACTCACGCAGCATTCAGATCAAGGCGAGAGAGTAATCTCGTATTCAAGTCGCTCCCTAAATGGAGCGGAAAGGAATTACTCCGCAACGGAAAAGGAATGCTTGGCGATTGTATGGGCCATAAGGAAGTTGCGACCATACCTGGAGGGATACCACTTCAAGGTGATCACGGATCATATGGCACTGAAGTGGCTCAACAGCATAGAGAGCCCGTCGGGAAGGATTGCGAGATGGGCGTTGGAACTCCAGCAGTATGATTTCGAAATATCCTACCGGAAAGGCCAGCTCAATGTCGTGGCAGGCGCCCTGTCGAGACAGCCACTGCCAGCGAAATGTCGCAGAGCTAAGACGACAAAGACAGGCCCGAAGACTGCGGAACGCGACTGGATAGCGGAAATGAGAAGCAAGGTGGCGCAGAACCCGCAGAAATTCACGGATTACAGGCTGGAGGGCGATCAAATGTATCGCCACATACCCCACAGGGCGGGGAACGAGGACGTGGTCGCGTGGAAGCTATGCGTACCCAGAGGATCAATACAGAGGGTGATAGCAGAAAATCACGACGCACCAACAGCCGGTCACTTGGGCAGCAGGAAGACAATCGCAGGAGTGTCTGCGAGGTACCACTGGCTGGGCATGCACAGAGACATCAAGGCCTACGTACGTAGCTGTGAGAGGTGCCTGAAGTACAAGCCGAACCAGCTGCAGGCGGCAGGCAAGATGTTGACGCAGATTCCCGAGGAGCCGTGGGCGACAGTGTGTGCCGATTTCGTCGGCCCACTGCCACGGTCAAAACACGGGAATGCAATGCTGCTCGTGCTAGTGGACCGATTCTCGAAGTGGACCGAGTTGGTGCCGATGCGGAGGGCGACCACAGAATCGCTGCAAAAGGCGATAAGGGAGAGAATCGTCTCGAGGTATGGCGTCCCGAAAATCCTGATCACGGATAACGGGGTGCAGTTTACCAGTAGGTCCTTCAAAAAATTCCTCGAAGAGTTGGGGGTGCGACACCAATTTACGGCGCCGTATACACCCCAGGAAAATCCAACAGAAAGGGCAAATAGGACCGTAAATACGATGATCGCCCAGTTTGCAGGGGCCGACCAAAGGACGTGGGACGAAAAATGGCCAGAATTACAGCTGGCGGTTAATACCAGTGTGGCGGAGTCCACTGGGTACTCGCCAGCATTCGTCACCCAAGGTCGAGAACCCCGGCTCCCGAAGACTCTATATGATGAACACACGATCGGGACCGGCAAAGCCACGCAAACGCCAACGGAAAACGCACAAAAATTATCCGAAATTTTTGAACTAGTCAGGCGTAACATGGAGAAGGCAGCGCAGGATCAGGCAAGGCATTACAACCTGCGGAGGAGGCCATGGACGCCAAAGATCGGTGATAAGGTCTGGGCCAAGGAGCACCACCTGTCCAAACCGGTGGAAGGCTTCGCAGCGAAATTGGCCCCCAAATATGACGGGCCATTTTCTATTGTTGACTTTGTTTCCCCGGTGATATGCAATTTGCGGCACTGCATGAGTGGCAAGGAAAAAAGGTCTCACATTAGTGAGTTAAAACCTGGCTCTGAGGGGAAACAATAAGTAACGGCCGTCATTGCGGGGGGCACACTGTACGGGTGTTTCGTAAGAAAGGGAGAGGACGATACGGAGTATCGATGCAGTGCCTCCCACACACACGTACATGGAGCGCGAGCGCCAGGAGCGCGAGAAGCGGGTCAGTGGAGGGTACATAAGGGGCGATCACCGTTACCGGGTCACCAACACAAGAGCAAGAGAAAAGCTTTCACCGGTAACGGGACCCCGGACGAAGAAAGGTGGGAGAGGACGAAAACCGAGGTATCGTCGGAGGCGACGGATAGAGGTTCGGTCTTTCCAACCTTTTTCGCCGAGATGTCAGGACGTGCTAACCACCGCCAGCTACAGCAGCATCAGCCGCAGCAGCATCAGCAGCAGCCGCAGCAGCAGCTACAGCAGCATCAGCCGCAGCAGCAGCAGCCGCAGCAGCATAAGCCGCAGCAGCAGCCGCAGCAGCAGCTGCGCAAGCGCAAGGTCGGCGCGGAAGGCCGCGGCCGACGGCAACAGCCAGGGGCGAAATGGAGGCGTCGGCGCTCGTCGTCGGCGCTCCAGCTACTGGCGTCGCCGTTAGTGTCGCGGTCCCCGTCGCCGGCCTGGCGCTAGGTATCGGAGAGGGAGATGTCCTCCGACGAGGAGGTCGACGGCGGCCCCACCGGCGAGATGGAGACGGTGGAGTTGTCGTCGACGGAAGATGAAAGCGACGGAGGTGAGACGGTGACCCCCCGTGGTCTCCTCTGACGAGGAGGGCACCCGTTGGGCCAACCAGGCCCGGAGGGGTTACCGTCAGGTAAGGCGGGTGGTCGGGTCGGCGGCCTCGTCGGAGAGGCCGGAGGATGAGGACGAGCGACGATCGACAGGTTGGTGGAGCGGCACGTGGAGTGGATGGCTGCCGTGAGAGAGTGGAGGAGAAGGCTGCAGCAAGCGGAGGACGAAGAGGCCGCGTTGTGGACACCGGCACCTCCGCCGGCAGCGCCCTCGCAGCCGCCGTTGCCACCCACATCGCCACCGAGGACCCCGCCACCACCACCGCCGCCACCAAGGACACCGACGCCACCACCACCGCCGCCACCAAGGACACCGACGCCACCACCACCGCCGCCGTCGATGAAAGGGACACGGCCGAGGACGCCAACACCACCGCCGCCGAGGAGGCAGACACCGCCGCCACCACCACCGCCGAGGAAGAGGACGCCGCCGCCAAGGACGCCCACGCCGCCGAGGAGGCCGACGCCACCGTCGCAGCCACCGCTGCCGCTCGAGTCGCCGCCGAGGACGCCGCCGCCACGTCCACGGCTGCAGAGGCAGTCATCGTGCCCGGTGGCAGCACCGCCAAGACGCCCGATCCTGATGCGGGGATTCTCCCAGGAGGCAACCTGGGCAGAGGTCCCCGAGGACACGTGGCCGGACACGGTGCGCGCAGGCGGAGCGGCAGCGCCGTCGAGGGAGGACCCAGCGGTGGGCGAGATTGATGTGTGTGGAGGGGGTCCGCTACCGGGTAAAGGTAGCGGGCGGGGCTGTGCGGGTGTACAAGGCTTTTAAATAAAAAGGAAAAAAGGACCCAAAGACCACCAAGTTGTATTGCCACGAAGGGGGGGGTTGGAGGAAGGGGGGGGCCGGGATACCAGCAGGAGTCACTGTGGGTATTTGGGATAGGGCAGGATGACACCACAAACACGCACAAATATATTTCGGTGGAGTCAGAAACCGCACGCGCGAAAACACACAAATCAAAATATAAATCACATAAAAAAAATATAAATAATAATAATCCAGCGGCGGCTGCATCAGGTCCAGCGAAGACAGGTGGAGGCGAGCGATCCGCAGGCGGGCTGGAACCAAAAGTAGGAAAGGTTAGGCGTGTACGCAAAAGGTACGCAAAAAAAAAAAAAAAAAACTCACCTGTGGCAATGCCCTCACGGCCAGCCTGTGGTATGCCACAGAACGAGGAGCCGCGGGGTAGCGGGGAAGGAGTGGACGTCAGTCGGAGGGCGGTCCAGCAGCATACACGGAGTTGGTTCGACGTGTAGCGTGAGTCCCCGGAGCCAGCCGGAGTCTCTGGAGGGCAGACGGTGAGTTGGTACACGAGTTAGCAAAAGATATTTAAACTCAAAACTTACCTGGGAGTCCACGGCCAAGTTTAGACGGCCAGCCAGAGCGGGGAGCCGCGGCGAGGGGGAAGGGAAAGGGGTGGGTCGAAGGCCGGGCATATTGGCCTGCCGGGACGCGCTAGGTCAGGGTCGGCGCCCCGGCGCATACATCGTTGGAAGGATACCGCGGCTCAACCCGGCTTGGAGTGGCCTAAAAAAAGGAACATTTAAGTGGTAAAAGTCATGAAAATAATATCAAAACACTTACCATAACAAAACCACGAGGCCGGCGAAAAATTGGGAATGGGGTCGCCACGATAACGGCGGTCGATCGATAGTGCGATCGATGGGAGCTAAAAAAAAAAATACTGGAAACATCGCTGGCCGGTCACACTGAATATGACGGCACCCTGAGGAGTGGCAACGCCACAATCGATCGGTAAGAGTTATCGATTGTGCGCGGGGAAATTCTGCGCGGGAGACTTTTTCAAATTTGAAACGAGGATCGGAAGGAGTCGCGCGCTGGGAGTTTCCGACAGCTAAGATGCCCTAGTCAAGAAGCCCAACGACGGGAAGTCTACATAAGCTGAGACTTAGGTGCTGAGGTTGGAGGAGCTCTCAGCCGTGGCGGGAGGAGGTCGACGAAGGAGTGGCAACGGCCACAAGGATCAAGGAAGGATGTGCGCGCAAGGAGCCATGGGGGTCGAGACGCCGCAGTCGAGATGCTTAACGAGCAGGTAGGGTTTACTAGGCTGAGACTGTCCGGCTGAGATCCAGAGGGGCCTTGGCCGTACTCAGGAGTGGAGGTCGACGTGGGAAGGATGCAATTTGAGAACGTTTCCCCAGGACATTCCGGAGCCCGAAGCTTTTTAAAGTTTCCGAAGGAAGGGGAGATGTAAGGAGTTGTAAAACTCCTTACAATTTTGAGTGCAGGGGAGCTGCATGGCAACAGCGGGATGCGCGGCGTGCAGAAGAAAAGGGAAATAACGGTGCAAAGGACTTTGGACTCAATGCTGCGGTGAGTCTGCAGACTTTGGACCCAATAACGGTGAGTCTGCGGACTTCGGACCCGCGCAAAGAGGAGAGACCGTTAACTAACGGTACCGTTCTGGACTTTGCACCCGTTATAACGGTGAAGTTCTGGACTTTGTACCCGTTATAACGGTGAAGTTGGCGGACTTTGGACCAGCACAAAGAGGAGAGACCGTGAACTAACGGTACCGTTCTGGACTTTGCACCCGTTATAACGGTGAAGTTCTGGACTTTGTACCCGTTATAACGGTGAAGTTGGCGGACTTTGGACCAGCACAAAGAGGAGAGACCGTGAACTAACGGTACCGTTCTGGACTTTGCATCCGTTATAACGGTGAAGTTCTGGACTTTGTACCCGTTATAACAGTGAAGTTCTGGACTTTGTACCCGTTATAACGGTGAAGTTGGCGGACTTTGGACCAGCACAAAGAGGAGAGACCGTGAACTAACGGGACTTGTGCTGCACTTTGGACCCGATCACGCCACTTGTCCTGCAATTTGGACCCAGTCACGCCACCGATGGAGGGAAATAGCAGGACAGGGATGGCATATAAAAGGAGGACGCGTGCAGGCAGTCAGGACAGTCAAGTGAAAGCCGTGCAAGAGACGTACCAACGCGAGTGAAAGCCCAAGTGAACAACAAGTGCCAGGATACCAGGAATCAAGATCGGCGAGTCGAGAAGCCCAACGACGGTCACGTCTACATAAGCTGAGACTGCCAAGCTGAGATCCCGAGGGTACAAGGTAAGTTGTAGGGTGCGTCTACGAGTCTCGAAAACGACGGTTTGGTGGAGTCCGAGTAAGTGGATGTTGTGCGAAAGGTACCCAGCGTCGGTTCGCATGAGAGATTGAGAACCTGCTGAGGGCCAGCTGACGAAGATCCAGTGGATGTTGTGCGAAAGGTACCCGGCGTCGGTTTCTCATGAAAGATTGAGGACCTGCTGAGGGCCAGCTGACGAAAATCCGAGGGAGTTGTGCGAAAGGTGCCCGGAGTCGGTTTCTCATGAGAGATTGAGGACCTGCCGAGGCCCAGCCGACGAAATCCCGACCGACTTCAGGGTAGAGCGTGGAGTGTTGACTGCAGCAGCGCTGCTTAGCCCTCCAGTAAGGTTTTCTGCTCAATATCCGCCAAGTGGTGAGAGACTCGTAGCGAGCCTAGTACGCGACCGGTGCCCGAAAGACTCGGCAAGGCGGAGGACGCGCTACAGGCGTGCCGGCGCAGGAGTCGACGCGGGAGCCATTACCGGCGTCAGCGGGGGAGATCGAGTCGTCGGACAGCAGAGCCACGAATACTTTATTGTAAATCCGCAAGCAATAAACGCAACCCAATATTCTAAATCTAACCTAACTCTGCGTTCTTCTTTGGTCTCGGGGTCACGCAACAATAAATTTGGTGGGACGAACACACAAACTCAACTGAGCTAGCCGCACGTTTACGTAGCGAGCGGAGACATAAAAAGCAGTTCGATACAGCATTCTTTTTGTCTCCTACGAAATACTCTTAATAGATGCTCGAACATGCCGCCCGCCAATACTGATCCCAGTATTAAACTCCAGTGCTTTCCCTTGTTGCCAATTAAACGCTGTGAAAAGACAAGTGTTTGATAGAGCATGAATGCGTTGGATCAAAGATGTGCAAAATAATTGTCGTTAATTTGATGAATCGAGACCTTTAGCTACTGAGCTGCAAACTAAAGGCAGAGGACAAAGTTTTGAAAGCGATCGCTTATATATTCCTGACGAGGTTTTAACGGAAGCCACACGTACGAGGTTGTCTGATCCGGGATGCAGTTCTATAATTCGCCCAAGTTTCCATTCCGCCGGGGGGAATCGATCATCCTTTATGATGACTATATCATCTACCTTTAGATTGGGTTTTACTTGCCACCATTTTGGGCGAGCTTGTAAATGTGACAACTAGTCTGCGCTCCAACGCTTCCAAAACTGCCTTACCAGTCGTTGGCCGTCAAAAACTGCAAGTCCAAAGATTTATCCGCTGTGGTGGGATTTGGTAGAGACATCATGGAATCACCGATCAAAAAATGAGCCGGAGTCAAAGCCGAGAGATCCTCAATATTGGACGTCAACGGGCACAAGGGTCGAGAGTTTAAACATGCCTCTATTTGCACAAGAACTGTGTTCAACTGCTCGTAGGTCATCTTGACCCCCTGGAAAGTACGAAACAGATGCCTCTTGACTGCTTTCACGTTCGCTTCCCACAAGCCTCCGAAATTAGGGCTGTGTGGAGGATTGAAATGCCACTAAATGTAGCGAGATGTTTATTCAGGCAGCACAGTCGTTGTCATTTCTTTTACAAATTCCTTCTTCCACAATTGAAGCGATTTGTCCGCACCCTTAAAATTTGTGCCGCAGTCGCTGTACAGATGCCTGCAAAATCCGCGGCGTCCAATAAAACGCTGCAAAGCCCATAGGAAATGCTGGGTAGACAATCCTGTGACGGCCTCCAAATGGATTGCTTTGGTTGCTAAGCAAACGAAAACAGCGATATATGCTTTGTAGGTATGATGTCCACGAAACCGAGATGCCTTAATTTCCAACGCGCCAGTGTAGTCCACGCCAGTAGCTTCAAATGCTCGTTTTGGGGGGTTTACCCGATGAAATGGCAAATCTGCCATTAACTGCGATGCTGGTTTTGGACGATGTTTGAAACAGGGAACACATTTACGTAGGACTCGTTTCACTGCTTGTTTTCCGTTTACAATCCAGAAAATCTGTTGAATAGTCGCTAGTGTGAGATCCATTCCTCCATGTAGTGTATTATGATGAGCATTTCGGATCACAAGCTCAGTGAAGTGATGTGACTTGGGTAGAATGATCGGAGTGCGTTGGTTAGCAGAGATGTGGAAAGTATTATTTAATCTCCCTCGCACCCGCAAGATACTCTGCTGATCTACAAAAGGACATAACTGATGAAGTTTATTAGAGCCAGATAAGGATTTATTTGATTGTAATCTAGAAATCTCACATGGAAACGCTTCCCGCTGCACCAGTCGAACGACTTGAAGCATGGCATCTTGAAACTCGTGTGTTTTTATTGGGCCTGTTCGACGCAATGCCAATGCAGATTTGGAATTGTGTACAAGGCGTAGCATATAGGCCACAACAAAGATGAGTCTGTTATAGGAAGAAAATGAGGTGATGATTGATTCATCAATCGAAGTGGTACAAGTGAGTGTTGATTTTTTAAGATCTCACTTCTCAGCTCTGGCAACGTTATCCTCCGGTGGATCCAAGCGATTAGTTGGCCATTGCGTATCCGGTAGCTGTAACCATGGTGGGCCACACCACCACAAATCGTGATTTGCCAGCTGCGTTGGGGTAAGACCACG